AACCCTGTCGCACGCGATTCCGGCTCAGGCCATGGCCCTCCACTTGGCCGGATAGCCTGAAGCAGGAGGGTCTTAGGCTGAGTTTCTTGCTATAAGCCCAGACATATGAATAGTAGTGCAACTTATGATAGGCTCAAGCTGGCCGACTACTGCACCTGATGCCCAACTTGCACCACGACTGCAACTTACTGTTACATACAGGCGACGATGGTATCGTTACCCTACTCATTGTTAAAAATATGACTCAGTGACCCAGCTCTGTCTGGCTACTCCCACTGACACGAACCAGCGGTGCCCTGGGCGGAACATGGCACACACGAGTGCCCAATTAGTGCATGCACACCTCCACCTTGGTTCCTACATGGGACTAACGTGCTGTCCATGCCAATATGATTACGTGACCAAAGTTACTAATTAACTATCAGCTTAGCACCAACTGTCGTCAGGTTACATCCACTAGCTCGGTCGCCTATGCGCAGCGAACACCAGGTCCCGGATGACAAACCGCATGCACACGAAATGGGACAGGCCTGTCACAAACTGTCACAAACCTTTTCATCCACAAACATTCAGACTCAGAGTACTTGTACAACGCAGACAAAAAACAGCCAGCTCCTGTCAAGCCTCCATCCAGAACCGTCCAACTGCCCACTGCGAATCACTGAGCTGAGTAAAAGCAGCTAAATCTCGGAGCCTGGCCAAAGCAGGCAAGGGGCCTGGTGCGACATATCCAATTGCACGATTTCACAGCCTGGAACCTGCACTCCGACCCCTTAGCCCTGCTTCGCTCAATTATTTATGTTCGACACGCAACTCCGTCCTATACCACGAAGCCTAAACGAAAAGTCTATAGGATCTGGGACTCTGGCCCACCTCGGATGCTTGTAGATAATCATCGGCCTGGTTGGACAGGCCGAATCGCGACACAATGGCTACAGCTGCCGTTATGTTGACCGTCTAACACTAACACTGACACCTTCTCAGCTCACTGTCGACCACGAGCCCGGCCAAAACATACGAGTGCATGGGCGGGCAATATTCATTTTAGACCCACGGTGTTCAGATTCAACCAACGGAATCCTGTCAACCCAATGAGCAAGCTCTGAGTCTGGGGCTCTGGCCAACCCCGGACTCTGGCACAATCGACCTGAAAAGATGCGTCCAATTGCAAGCACTGCCGCCTGAACCCTGCTCACCACCTAGCATCTGCACGTTCGACCAAGAACCCTTGTTATGCACACACACACAAAAAGCAATGTTCCAGACCTCCTTCGTCATTCTTCCAAATAATTATCGTGCAGCACATCAAGTTGATGATGTCTCGGACCCTGGCCAACCACGGACGCTGCAAGATAGCTGGCCTGAGCGAATTTCAACATAATTCAATCGCCTACTGGGCTGCCAGCGAATCACATGAAGGCTTGCTTCAGTTACTAATCTGCTGCAAGGCACGATCTACTGGCTTCGATGCGAGAACTACAGTATAATACAGTGCAGCTGGCCCGGAACTCCAAGCGGATTTGGAGGGCAATTGACTCAGCCCAAAAGGCCCCCAAAACAAAAAATCCAGGGTTGACTCAGCCCAATACCCCCAACCGCAAAGTAAAAGCTGTCTCAGCCTACTCCTAGGGCTGACTCGGCCCCAAACCCAATGCCTAATAACTAAGACCCCAAACTAAACTAAACGCTGACTCAGCGTCCCAGGGCTGACTCGGCCCAAAACTCAAAGTCTAATGACTCTACAAAGTCACTGAAACGCCGGCTCAACGTCATAGGGCTGTCTCACCCCACAACCCAAAGCCCAAGAACCTGAAAGTAAAACCACGATGTACTGAAATCCCCAGCGCAACGGTAATAAGACCAGGGGCCCTGGCGCAATCCAGGATGCCAGCGCAATGGCCTGTCAGGACAGTCTCTGTCACCAGCAATCAGTCAACCTTCCGTCTCAAACCAGCAGCAGCAGTGTGTTCCCTGAGCTCACACTCGTTCTGCCCGCACCATACGCACGGCTTTCCCCTACGCATGCTACGGGGCCCTCCAGCCACGCGGACCCGAAAGAATCTTGAAGCGCAGCACGTCCCGCAAAGCTCACAGACTTGTTTAAAATTAGAGTAAATCCTAAGTTTCTTGCAGCGGGCCGCCGGTGCTTCGCTCTGCTTGCGGCAATCAAAACCCGAAGCGTATGCTCCGTGGGAAAACACCCGCAATGTAGAATCTTTGTACGTTGTACAAACCTAGAATTCTTCGTCATCCTTTTCATCGATGAGATCAAGCATAGCCTCGACATCCTCTGCGACGCCATCGGCGGCGGAGTCCTGAGCATCTTGCGACTGTTCCACCGAAGCCGCACTTGGCGAAGGAAGAGGCGGCCGTTGGGATTCAGAGCCAGACAAGGAGTTCTCACGTGTGAGGAGCCTCCTCCTCATCACAAACCCATCCGCACGGCCTGTCATGATTTCGTAGGTGATCCGCATCATCAGGGACTGAAATACAGCCTGTTTGTGGCGCTCCGACTCCGTAAACATGGTGATGAGCATGTGCTTTCGGCAGCATGCCGTCGCGAGGGAAACGGAGGGCTCAATCGAGACAATGCGTGGATCTGTCTTGATCAAAGCCTTGGCCGGCTCATACTTGTAAAGATCAACAAGCAGCTGGCTGTGCTGCTCGCTGTTTTCCCACGGTGCGATCGGGAAAGTCTGCTTGGACTTCGCATCCTCCTCGTCCTCGGCTGCTCCATCAGCAGCTGCCGGCGGCTCATCCGAGCCCATCAAGGGCCTCCCTTCCTCCGTCTTTGTTGTGTCGCCAGTCTCATCACCATCGGTCTTCTTGAGCAGACTGTGATAGACAGCCGGCGTGACCGTCGCAAAGCCATGATCCGTTCTGCTCTTCATATCCATACCTTGCCAACCACGACTGAAATTATCGGCCACAACCGTTGGCATGGAGGAGTCCCTGTGCTTCAGAACGAACTCTTTCGAAACAACGATGAATGCATTCTCAAGCGGGTCGGGAGCTTGTGGATTCAAGCTACATTTTCTCTTTGGTGCTGCATACCCTCCAACAGCAAATTCGCTGTTGGTGTAAGCTCGCCGAAGCACCGTCAAGAGACGCTTGGGCATGTTCTCCACACCCTTGAGCACAGAAGTCAACTGCTTTTGCATGGCTTCTGAATTGGTTGGGGATCTGCCGTCCATGGCCACGAAGACGTCGTTCGATCGGAAGAGAGGAGGGCCCGATGCAGGCCTGAAATGAGCTCTTATGCGAACCTGTATTATAATTACAGCAGTATCGTCACCGTCAACCATGTGTACACAACTACGGAACTTCCTAACAAACTGTGTGGCTGGAAAGTGTCACTTTCGGGTCCAACCAGAAAGCTGCAAGCCACTGCTTGAATTCGGCCGAATTGAGCGGTGTCGGGCGCCGCCATGGGTTAACCAACAGGTCATCTTTGATGTGGAGGCGGCACTTGACATCATAGACGATGAAGAAGGAGGTCCCACCGTTCCGCTTGTACAAAGCCTCCACTTGGTTTCGCTTCCCCTGGGCCGTGGGGCTTTTGATCTCCATCTCCACGAACGTGTTCACCTTGACCCTCGCCCAATCCAGCACCTGCTCAAAGTAGTGGTCATCCCCACCCTGCAGGGTCGAAGCAATGTCCGAGGGGATGTCCAAGAGGCTGAAGAACTTGAGCCGGTCCAGCGCCGCAGGTCCCGATGGGACCTCCTCTTCAGGCACCTCTGCCATGACATGGGGCATTGCCTCCGGTTCATGAGGGGTGTCCACGGGAGGCTCAACTGGCGGAGCCGGATCAGGCTTCGCCGGCTCAGGCTCCTCCTGCTTGGGAACTGGCGCAGGCGGTTCCATTGCAGTCTTGCGCTGGTCCAAGATTTCATTGAAATCAAAAAGCAGTGCGGTTTGCCATTGCTGCGACTGGAAGAGCGTTTCGGCAGGGATGAGCGGATCCAATGCCAAAGCCTCGTCCAATTTCATGTCCACTGCATTGCTTCCACGAAGCATCTTGGCCGCGAACTGCACGGCATCGACCTGCCAGGACGGAAGCTGGCTCACCCATGGCACCGCCATGTAGGTTGTCTCGTGCAACTGGGAGGCACGGAAAGCTGCGATGGAGGAAAAGACCCCGAGACTCCGTGTATGTAACCGGTGCTGACTCGTGTAATTCGCTCCCCGAGACACACATTTCAATGTAGCTCCCCAGGGCAAACATTGATAGAAACGGGGGGTTTGTTTAATAGAAACAGGTTGGTTTTAATAGAAAAAAGGTTGGTTTTAAAATTTGCCAG